TAGCGGCTGCGGTCGTCAGATGGACATGATTCTCTGGTGTCAGATGTAGGGAGCCGGGACAGGCTCAACAGCACGCAAACATTCTGGTATGCGGCGGAGGGGAGACCGGAGACGGGGGGGGAGGGGTCTGAGAAGGGCTATTTCTGTCCGTCTTAGGGGGCACACGCGTGCGCTGAATGAACAAATGATTGAGCACAGAGGGCATGACCAATCAGGTGAAGGTGCCTCTCCCCAGGGACAGACAGCTCAGCTGCTCCCTCACCCGGCCCAGCAGCAACTGGACTGACTCGCACCCCGGCAGCTTCCATGTCCCAAGCAGAGCCTCCATCTGCAGGGCGACCTTCGCAGGCCTGGGGAGAAGTTTCTGGGAAGTCTGGTTTGGGAGGTGGGGGGAGCCTTCTTGTTATTTCTGGCCGGCTCTACCCCCCGCCCCGCGTCTGTCGTAACTCACAGTGGGGCTCAGGTCAAGTCCCTGAAACCTGTGGGCCTCGGTTTCCCCAAGTGGGAAGCAGGAGGTAGAAACCCCTGCCTCCCATCCGCAGGCCATGCTGAGGCTCAGGGACAAGGTGGCAGGAGGGCGGGGCCCGGGCGCCAGCTGAGGGGGAAGGGCACTGCCAGTCACTGCACCTGCCTCGCCCAGACGGAGTCCTGCCAGCCGCCCCTGCTGCCCGACACCCCCAGCTCCCTGGCCACCCCCCCCCCCCATCCTGAGCCCCGAGCCGGGTTATGCTGGCGGCAGGGGGCTCCCGGTCTCACAGAAGACGGATCGCTCCCTTAATCACTCTGGAAAAGAACCCCAAGCCGATATAATATTATAATTAATTAATTCACTAAAAAGGTATTAAATTTCTCTCCCCCCTGTGGATATTATCTGAATTCATTGACCTTTAGAAAAATCACCCTCTAATTGTAACCAGGTCCAAAAGCATTTGCAGCCCGTCCCTTCTACATTAATAATATCTTCCCGGACCCGGCTCCGGCTGCTTAAATATTGTATAAATTCCACTGCCCCCCTCAGAAAAGAGAGAGCCAAGGAAAAATGAGTCTGGAGGAGCCTGGGAGGGGGAGGGGGCCGGACCCTAAGAGGTGGGGCCTGGGGGGCGGAACAGGGGGTGAATTGATGGGGCTGTTTC